GGGGGGGCCGTTTAGAGAGGACCGCTTTTTAGAAGCTTCTACTTGTCTACCTTTCGCGGTTGCTTCGGCGGCATCTGTGGCAGATCCTGTCACGCTTTGATCCATTGATGGACTCTGCGCAGATGAAGCGATAGGGGCGTCCATGAAGCATATCGATGCGAGCCGTGCAGTCTAAGACTCGTCTGTGCTGATGAAAAGAACAGAAGACGCACTTCGTTTTTCTTCACGACGGGTCGATCCGGCACTGCTGTGATCAGGCGGATGTGAAACTCGTGGAAAACTCACATGCCCCGAGTTTTCGGTATGCTGTGAGTTTTGCCAAACGCGTTGTTTGAAAATTGTGTGTTCAGAAAATCCGATCAAACTGGCCGCCAAAACACGCGTTTCCATGACTTTACGGACAACGTTAATGCCACGAAAAGGCAAAGCGAAAAAAAAAAAAATCTGATCGACTCCATCATTCTTCAAGCCGAACATGACTTCCTCGTAGAAACACTGCTGCCTTCCACCACGTGACGATGACCTGCCATCAATATTTTCTCACCATCGACTCGTTCCTTGTTCTCTATTGGTTTGCTTCCATCTCTGCCGAGAAGAGAGGTGGCATTTCTACCTCCCGCTCCTCACTCTCTCATCTCCATCATTCATGCTCAACACGTACCCTTGAAGGGTACAACACAGAGCAAGTAACTCTCCACGCTGATCACGAGAAACCCCTATCGCGAGATTCTCTATGCAAACAACAAATTGTTCTTTGAAATATCCTTTGTGTACGCGGCAGATGTTTATGAGATGTTTCTCATCCCTCCACGACATCAACTGCACAGTGCCCAGTATTCCTTGCTTGGTTTCATTCCTGTGCCCACTTTCAAGTCATCTGCCCTTCTAGTAAAGGATGCAGTAAATGCCTGCTGATATCACTCTCACTGACTCAATGAGTTCCCGCCTCCCATTGTACCAGTTGCCTTGTTTCGTACTGTATACGTTACGTTTTCTCTACACGTACCGCGAAAAAGCTTCACTACCACATCGCCACTACGTTTACGTTTTCTCTACTCGCGCCGCGAAAAAGCTTCACTACCACATCGCCAAGGCAGTCCGAGCGAACGCTTCAAACGTGGGCCCCTATATGCATTAGCCGCCACTGCAAAAGACAATATAAAAGGCATCCTGCTTCACCATCATCTCACCCTTTGCCTCACCACAGCTCTACCCATTCACGAGGTCCACCCCATCACATTCATCATGATCGCCACACTCACCCTCGCTTGCCTTTTATCCGGCCTCGCCCTAGGCTACACCTCTCCTCGGGCTGCCACTCAATTCCACCATGTGCTCGAGCGTTCCAAGTTGCAGGCACCCGAATCGAACACGGTCGCCTACAAGCCATATGACGTCGCCGAAGAGTACTTCCACCTCGATGACGACGGCTACTTGACTTTTCGGATGACTGGAGAGGGACGTCGCTCCGAGCTGCGCCAAACTGACACGGATGAAGACGAGAGCGCGTGGAGCGTCAGAGATTATCACCGCATGGTGGGCCATATCTCGTTCCCGACACCGGAATCCGACATGGAGGAATTCACGTTTATGCAGGTGCACTGCACGGAGAAGCCCGCGCTGCGCATGGTGTGGATGCGCGAGTATAACGGCTATTCGGACGCAATCATGGCGACGTTGAGGTTGAACGCGGAAGACGGTGATGACGCCAAGGTTGAGAGAACTTTCATCGGTACTAGAACGTCGAGTATGACGTATTACTCCGTGACCGTGACGGATAAGAAGTTTGTCATATCAGGGAATGGGAGTGAAGTGGAGCTGGATGCGTCGTTCTGGGAGGATGCAGAATGCTACTTCAAGGCAGGGGTTTACATTCAGCATTCCAAGGACGAAGATGACGTGCCAGCGATGACCAAGTTTTCGGATTTGATGTGGGAGTAGTTTTAGCAGGATCTTACCTTCTTTGAAGAAGAAGTGAGAGAAGAGAGGCGTGGGTAGTATAGGATGAAGATTGCTTGATGTACAATAAACATCCGGTCGTGTGCGAAAGTTCTGCACACGAAGAAAACAAAGTGAGCATGTCTCCGGATGGTTTGAAGAGGAATGTGCCCTCAACGCGATGAACATGAAAAAGCACGGAAGAAGCCGACTAAAGGTAATCCTCATCGGCCATGAAGAATTTCTTTGATAGATGCGGTGTCCTACAAGAGTACTGTATGCTGTATTGTGCGGCAGGATTAAAGAACAGTTGCGAATGTGGGGAATAGCGTGATAGCGTAAAGCGTAAAGTCAAACACCCGATTCGGTGACGGCCCAATTGGGACTGTTACCGCTCGATAATGCTATTGGCTACAGGCGTGGGCTCTACATGCTGGATAGAAGCTTTCTTTGCCGCCGCAATGATGCTCTGTAAGAAATGGTAGCAAGGGTAGAGCGTCTTAGGATCTGTTTGTATTCTAATCACTCTGCATGCGTTGTGGTGTTTGGTTGCTTTGCTGACCCTCGGACCGGTGCCGCTTTCTTATACTGTATTTGGTCAAAGGACGGCTGCCACTTTGCTGCAGTGGTTTGCAATAAAATCCACTTACTGCAATACTGCATGACCGAATTCAGTGGTTGAAAAGGTAATCGCATATGGGGTCACTCGTCGTCTAGATGCAATATGGTTCTAGAGCGAGAGTCCTCAATCTACCAAGCGTACACCTTACCTAAATAATCGTCTTGACGGACCGTAAGGACAGACTGTCCGCATTACAGTCTGTCATCTTCGGTACTTAGACCCACGAGACGGCGACGACGAGTAAAGACGACCCCATGAGGATTTCGATTCATCACGTCTTTCATGCATATTTTAAGAGGTATGGAGTAAATATACTTCAGAAACTGCCCATGGTTGTCATCTAAACATCATGACCTCGATCGCTGTCCATGCCCTTCTAATATGCTTTTCGTTGCTATGGATACCGTTCACATCGTGGTTCATCACACCTTTTAAATGAATCGTTGGTCCCGGAGACGTAATGCATTTGCAACTCATGTTATTCGGGCATTGACGATTCTTAATAACTTTTGCTTACGCTCGACGCACTTATCGTGGCACTCTTCGTGCTTGCACATAACAAACGCTTCCAGTCCAATATTAAGGCAGCAACCCCTTTGCCCCGTTGAGTCGGACTGGCACCCTTAAATGTATGTCAAATTGCCTGCCGTGTGGCCTACATCGTTTATGATGATGTTTCAGCAAAAGAAACACGCGGCCAGGGTCTGACCGCTTGCCCTGTTTCCGTTTGAGTTTGTATTTACTGTTCGCGCCTTTCGAAAGAGTTTCATTTCCGCCTCTTCAATGCCGCTCCAGAGGGAGGCTCCAGACAGCTGCGAGCTAAACTTTGTTGCCACAGAGTACCATATCCATTTTGCTTGCCGGATCAGTGTCAACAGCCTCTGCAAAAGACTATAAAATGAATCTTGCACTACCATCGTCTCAGTTTTTCCTTCATCACAATTCTGGCAAAATTACAAAATTGACTACTTTATATTCATCATGATCAACAAAATTGCTCTCATCTGCCTTGTCACCCGCTTAGTGTCTAGACACAAGCGATTTGACCTCATATGAGGCCAGCTTTTTTTGCAAAAATATATACATTAAATCGAAACTTTGTAACGGAAGTTTGGACACCATTTTTTAACGTATATGCCCTCGGCGATAACATCTTGCATAACATTGGGATGGCAATTGTCAATACACAGAGAGACTAAGAATCTAATGAAGTTTCAATGATCAATTGACTTTTTAAACAGGCGTTTTGGTTTCGAAGATATCAACGTAAAACGTTTTGAGGTTGGTCAAAAGGCTTCTTTTTCAGGCATTCTAAAAATGGCCGGAAAAGACGTGCAGATATCACCGAACTCCACCTTTCCGCAACGCAGAAGTCTACTGCGGTGGCGTGAGTATCTTTTTCCATCTTGTTGAGCTAGCACAAGTCGAGAAAAAATAAGTTGAAAAGTGCCCTCACACGAGGCCAAATGGCCTCATATGAGGTCATTTGTCGTCTAGACACTGGTGTCTATTGGACTGTTGTCCCACATAGGGACACTTCTTATGGTAAAATGTTTTCGTGTTGCTGTTGTCAATCTTACATGCTGGAATGTGACAGAGTACCTTCGGGGAGTTTTCACAAGAGACCAAAACAAAGATATCAAGAATATCAACACAACTTTGCGTACCGCTCCCCTTTGTGTTCGCCAATCTCCAGTTTTTAAATACGGCCACTTGTTCAGATTCTCAAAGGGCGTGTGGAATTATTCCTCTCGTCCCTGGGTTGGGAAAGAAGCGGAAGTTTCGCCGAGGGAGCACGCCACGCGGACGCGCGGAGTGCAAATTAACCGTCACGCACTATCTCTCGATAAGGGAGTGGCACACGTGGCCGCCTACGTGCAGTCGTTCCGTTGTGCGGGTACGGAGGCAAAGAGTAACAGGTTGGAAGCCAGCACGAATAAACTAAAACGAACGG